CGTGTCAGGCTACATTTCACTGTGTGTTATACTTGTATAACTATGCATGTGACAAATAATAAAGAACCTAGAACCTTGAACCTTTATGTTGTTGCTGTTCAGCAATAGTACACTGAGGTTGCGGAGACATTTGTGTGGACATTTATTTCACACTTTCTATTAATGTGTGGAATTATAAAAAGCCATAGATCATACTGTGTTGGATTCACAGGAGGCCTTTCTGTGTTCTTGTGTCATTGTGTTAGGAAGCAGTGGGTGTGGCTGCTTGGGCTTTGTGTGCTTGCAAAAAGAAAACAGTCTTGAAAAACCTGTTCTAGGTTTTTCTTAATGATGAGCTAACAGTTTCAAAGCCATAGTTTGAATACCTGAAAGATGCATCTGCTGACTCACCTGGGTGCCACTTCTCTAAGCACATACAGTACAGTACAGTATGTACAAAAATGGATACAGTCTTCCTCAAAGCCTTAAGATTTTTTACATTTAGTATGTATAGTAAAAATCTTTTAGAGGGGCTGAATTCATTCCATTTTAATGTTGTAGCTGACTGGTTTAATGCTCTACTTTAAGGAAAATACATGAACAGTTTGCCATTTGTTTTACTTGCTCCCTTAATCTGTTAATCAGTCTGTTAACTGTATATTATTTGTTCTTTTACAGGCTTAGTCAACCTGGATTTCTCAGTGCAATAGTGAGAAAACCACAAGAGTCATGGTATGAAACGTTTACATATTGTTTTAATTCTTCCTAAAATGCTCATATATACAGAATTGAATATTTTGTTTTAAATTGTCTACTTTAGAGGAGTAATTCTTCTGTTCAGTTTACAAAAACGTTGCTTTTACTTGCAGCCTTCACATCGCAGGGGAAGAAGCCTCTCTGAAGCCCTGACCTTGGAGCAGTTAGAGGAGGGAGGGGTGGTCATTTCCAGTATCAATAATGTCTCTTCCGGCAAAGGACTAAAGGAAGGTATGAATCTTGACATCCTATTGAAACTTCTCTTCGTATTGTTTTTGACTTTTTGAAAACAAGAAATAAAATAGTTGTTCCTAAAAAGAACACACCTTAAATTCAAGGAAACTATTGTAGATTTAAGTGCAATTATGGATCTTCGGATCCACATATGTATGTGAGCAGCTATTCTCCACCATGAGCTATGGTAAAAACAAACACCGCTCACGCCTCAAAGAGGACAGCTTACAGTCCTGCGTAAAGATGAAGTGACTTCGTACAGCCCCGATTTGCAGACGCTGTGCGCAGACGATCTGGACCTGAAGTCCCTGTGAGGGACCAAGCAGCCAAAGCAAAGAGGACACAGGCAAAAAAGTGTCTTCAAAAAGGGTTTTCTTTATTTTAACCCTCAAAAAGTCCAAAATTAACAAAATTCAAAAACATACTTAGCAGGCCCATAAAAGAGGTCAACTAAATAGAACTCTACAAAAAGGAATTTCCAGAAACTTAAACAAAACAAAGTGAGACACAACTTAACTCACAAACTGACCTAATTACAAAGACACATGAGGGTAGCTTTTATAATGATTTGGCCAAACCATTTACACACAATAGGGAGGAAAACAAAAACACACACTAATATTAACTAAGCACAGAATAACCTAACTAAACCTAAAACACCCCTGCTCCTGGTAAGCCCATGGTTGGTCCTGCTGAGCAGGCATTTTGTTCCCAGAGTCCTCAGCCACGCCTTTTGCCCAGACAGGAAACAGCCACCGCCCAAACCCAGGTAACTCAAAGAGAGAGAAACATAATTAATATAACAAAACATTTTAGAAAAACCACACAATGTTACTATGTGCGCGCCTCATAATACCAGTGTTAGGTTTAACCAAATGATTAATGAAGAAAACTGCAAAGCAAACTAATAAAGTAAAAAATGGACTAATTTACCCCTGTGTGGCTGATGCCATCACAGTCCCATTGTAAACATACAACGGCAGACCCGACGATGTTTGCATGTACATGCTTTTTGCTTTATTGACCACTTTTCACACATGGTTGCTGTAGCCAAACAACCAGCTGTAGCTTTCCAGCTCACAGCCCAACTCATACCAACACAACAGCAGAGAGAGCACAGACTTTAAACAGGCGAGGCTTGATTGTGGAAGCCGCTCAGGTCCGTCCACCTCCCCTGCAGCGGCACTGCAGACTACGCCCTGCCACACACATTAACCACGTAAAATAAATATTTATGCAGATATTTTGCAAATATTTATTTTTCATTTTTGAGGCAGTTAAGTAATTTTTTTTCCAATTATTTTTAAAATTCAGGTCAAGGCTCCGCTACAGGCTGCGAAATGGCAGCTGTGATATAAAGGTGATATAAGGATGACGGCTCACTACAGTTTTTGTTTAGTATATGAATAATTTAACTTCAGCTTTTTAATTCATTTAAAATAGACCTTCAACTAGGTGCCTTTCCTTTTTGTTATATTTTTTAAAGGGTCAAAATGTGTTCATTACATAAATAAAATGTAATTTTCTCTGTAGCACTTCATGGATTTCATGAGCAACACACTTTACGTGTTTATACAAAGCATAAAGGTAAAAAATAATAACAGTGTTATCTTCATTTTAGAGGTCAAAAAGTATTTGGGGCTCCCAGTGTTTTCTTTTCTTTGGAAACTGGGTCCAAATGGCTCTTTGGGTGTTAAAGGTTGCTGACCGCTGTTCTAGGTCAAGATCAGGCCAGGTTTAAAGTACTAAAACTGCCCTTGAAGGATATACAGTATTATTTGCACAGAGTCAAGCATGTTCTCGAACAAGGTATTTTTTTCTGCAAGAACTTTATTTGTCTTTTTCAGGGGATGAAATTCTGGGGGCAACAATCAATTTTGATCAACTGTCCAAAGAAGAGGTGTCAAAAGTACTGAAGCTGATGGAGCCATTTGATGATAAAGTTCAAGTCCTCACTCGAAGCAACCGGAGCAAGAGCCTTGACAATCTGGACCAGTGTACCAAGGGTCCTGGGGCTGTAGGTTAAATGCAGATAATATCAATTAAAAATAAAGGATTAGTAATTATATTAGTTTCAGTATGTTTATGCAACAGTGGAACACAGTTCACAATTGTTTACATTTTCTGATGCAGATACATTTAATGCTGGATGCAAAAAAACAAAACGAGAATTTGGTACTCAAATTAAATAGTGATGATGATGATGACAATTGATAATTAATAATTATCTCCCATCTGTTACAACACAAACTCTCATGTTATAGTTGCATTCCAATCATCAACTTCTCACTGTTTCCAGATGCTGACGGATTCCTACAACAAACTGTACAACACCAAAATCAAGAAGTTTTTGATGGATGATGTACCCAGTGTTGAAGGGGGCTACGTGAATGGGGAGTTTACTGCCAAACCACCTGTACAAAGCTCATCCAAGGTCAACCAAAGAAATGACATGGGGCTGCCTCGCCTTGGAGTTGACTTTGGACTTCTGAAATCCAAGACTTTAATCACAGATGCTAATGCTGATTCACACTCTTATGAGGGAAGCTTAACAGATGGCAGCAATCTGAATCTTCCACCGCTAGGTCTTGGCTTGAATGGGACTAATCTAAGTGAAGCTCAGGTTCCAAGATTCAAAATCGGTGCCAGATGTCCAGATCTAGACTTACCAGAAGACCCAAATGTCAGCACTACATCTTGTATGCAATTGCAAAATACTGACCACCCATCATTTGACAATGCAATGCGAAATCTTGAAAATCCTCAAATTGGACTTGAAGTTCCAGAAGTAGATGTAGGCCTAAAAGGTTCAAACATTACTACCCCTGAAATGGGGATAGACCTTGATGGCAGAAGTTTCTGTGGTCCATCTGTTAATTCCAGCGTTCCCAAAGTGGCCATTGAAGGAAGAAACCAGGAATTCAAAATGCCTACATTTAAACTGCCAGATCTGGGCCTCTCAGGATCTTCTTTTAGTGGTCCAGAATGTGACGTTAAGCATGAAGGCACACCAGGGAAACTCAGTCTAAAGTATTCCAAGAGACTGAAAAACCCAGATCTAAATTTGGATGATTCTTCCAGTTATGTAAAATCACCCAAGCTTAGGCTGTCTGGGATATCACCTGATTCAGAGCAAGGAATGTTGGGTATTAATGTATCAAAACCAGATATCAGTGGGACAGACACTGACATGCCTTTAGGTGAAATCAAGATGTCACACAAGAAACCAAGGATTTCTCTTAAATCTCCTGATTTAGATTTGGACGCTCAATCTGGCATGCTCAAAAGTGACACTGATGTTAAAACACCTGACCTAAGATTGAAAACATCAAAACTAAAAGGTGGCATGTCTGCACCTGATGCAAACATTCCCAAAGCTGACCTTAAGGGTGAAAATTGGGCCACTGATGCTCCATCAGTTAGTATTAAAGGTCCATCTGGAAAATACAGGGTTCCAACGTTTAGAATGCCCAAATTTGACTTACCAGTCATTCAGGTTCCTGGTTTGAATGGAGACTTGGATGGACCCGATGGACAGCTTTCAGGTACACTGCCTAGAGGGTCAAATTTAAAACTAAATGCACCTGACATAAATGTGCCAAATGTTGACCTCAAAGCACAAAAACTAAAAATTAATGCACCAAAAGCTAACTTAGACTTTCCATCAGGGGATCTCAAAATGCCAGAACTTCATGGTCCAGATTGGGATGTTAATGCTCCTTCTGGGAAATTAAAAATGCCTAAATTTAATCTGTCAGGGACACTGCCTAAAGGACCAAATTTAGACCTGAACGCAGATCTTAATTCCCCAGATCTTAATCCAAAAGCTCCAAAGATAAAGGGTGGAATTGATGTCCCTGATTTGGACTCACCAGACATAGATCTGAAAGCTCCCAAATTAGATATGAACACTCCAGATGTCAACATTGGCTCACCAAAAGGGAAGCTGAAATTCCCCAAAATGAAAATGCCTAAATTCAACCTTCCAAGCCTTAAAGGTCCTGAAATTGATGGCAACTTGGAAGGTCCAAACATAAATACACCCAATGTCAACCTCAAAGGTCCTAAAGCGGATCTTGATCTAGATATTTCTGGTCCATCTGGCAAGTTTAAAAAGCC